GCCAAAATTGTATAATTGCGTCATAATTGCGTCATGCGTCACATTAATTGCGCCATTGTAAAAATTTTAAATAATTGTGTCACCAGTAAATCAATTTCTACCACATGTATAGTTTCCTCTACAGAGCTCTATTCATTATAATAAGTACTATCTCCTAGTTTCCCCTTTCATTTCTCCTTAAAACATTTATGGTTAGAAATAGAATTTAATATAAAATAATAACACTAATGAAGCATATACACATTAGCCTTGACTTGTCTGAGATGGCAATCAATAGTAAAAGCTGATATGGAATAAAATCCGATATAGTCTAATGGTGGTCTAGAATAGCTTATAGATAGTAATTACCTGTATAAAAATATATAAAATATATATGTGAACTAAATAAATTCAGCCAATATTGGGTAAGGCCTAGCTAATTAATTAAATATATATATATATACTATATATAGGTAAGGATCTTAATGATTCTATATTTAATTCTATTTGATTCCAACTCTTATAATAAATTTAATAGGTGAGTTATAATTCATTTATATTTTTTATATGTATATGAGTCCATATGAGTCTATATAATTCCAATTTTTGAAACCATAAATATAGGCTAGTATTTAATTGTTATAATAACAATAGATAATATTTGATATAACATAAAAAATTAATTATTATCAATAAAATCCTGCATTTAATACTATTCTACTATAAAAAAAAAAAAATAAATAAATAAAAAATAAAACAATAATATTTACTTATTTAAAAAAAAAAAAATTAATAGATTTTTATTAATATATTATTGAAATTTATTGAAATTAATTAATAATCAAAAAAAAATATTTAAAAAGTATTACATAATTTAATTAATTTATAACAAATAAATAAATAAATTATATACAATAGTTTTGATTTATTGATTTGTAAAATCAAACCAAAATTAAGTAAAAAATAACTTAATTAATTTAAAATTTAATGAAAATATAAAATTTTTTAAAAAATTTATATTAAAATCAAAGATAAATTTATTAATAAAGCATTAAAAAAACTTAATTTTAATTTTAAAATTTTATATTTATTATAAAAAGTATTTGTCCAAAGACTTTTTAAACAAAGTGTATATTGAAAAATTAAAAATATATTTATTATGTTTACTTTTGATTTATGGAATTCATTCCGTTACATGTTAACTGAATGTAAAAAAAAATAAAAAAAAAAAAAAGATTGATGTATTAGATTATTAAGTAAAAAATATTAATTTCTATACTAAACATTTTCCGGTCAAATTTATTTACACTATCGGCTAATTTCTCGGTAAACTCGTTTATTATATAATTATCTATAGCCATTGCATCCAGATTACCTGTTCGCAAAAATAAAAGAACCTTAGTAAAAATTTAAATTCATTACTTTATATGAACACTCCCTACTTACTTCCATGGCTGCTAAATTTTGAGGGTTGCTCGCAGAAGATATAAAATCAGGTATAGAGTTGTTCACTGGTCTGGGATTGTTAAGTGCCTGTTTAAATAAATAAACAAATATAGATAAGCTCGTCAATCTACTTCATTAATTATCTATTAACACATAACCAAGGATCACACCTTTTCGTGATCCGCATCAAGACAACTGAGATCCCGTGCTCTGTTAACTACTTGATCCACATTTGCTGCCACTTTCATCCTAAGTTGTTGCTCATTAACTGCTTTTTGACTCATATAATGCCAGGTGATTAGTTCATCTCGAATAAAAACCTCAAGATATTGACCAAGATCAAACTTGATCGTAAAAAAAAATAAATAAATAAAATCAATACATCATTGAACCGCAAATGTCCTGAAATATATTCGAGAACTCACCTCGGGCTCTGTGAGACAGCGGCCAATAGCCATTAGGGCTGTAATAAATTATTCGGATTAATAAATATTGATACTACTAAAATAAATTATTTATTAACACAATACCTGAGCTAAATACTCCTTCTATGCCAATTTTAGTCATAAAGTGTTGAAGACTACGAGTAAATCTGAATGGCACAGCTTCGGGGTTGTGTAACATTGGGTATTGCTGAGTAAAGTCTGAAGAATTATTTATTAGTTGTAGTTGGAAAATATATTCGCGTATTTATTACAAACATCAAAGAAATATACTGAACATACTTGGAAGCAATTCGGTTGTCCAGATGTTGCCTGTGTTTCGTGAGATCATAAATCTATGCGGGTACCTTTGCCCGATACTCATAACATACGTCATAAAAGATATTGCTGCCATCTGAGAGGTAAATTGTTTTCTAATAGTCCAGAGATCTTCGTGTGACTTCATAGTCTTGGTCATATACTGTTTTTTTTTTTTTTTGAAAAGTTATAATTAGTTTAAGTCAAAAAACCATTCGATTGTTCCATAAGAAAACAAACCTTCGTCACCGTATCGTTTGGAATATATTTCGTCGAAATCTGATCTGCGACATCGGCTCTTAAGTTTATTATACCCTTCTTCTAAATAATATCGATGCATATCATCAGATATTAATGTAAACATTTAACAGCAACACAAACAAAAATTTAACCCTTACGTCTCTAACGTTATGCATGTTCTTTCTCATACTATCTGTATAATAAATAATCGCATCATCCTTTGATCTTCCGGTGGTGTCACAGTGGTCTTCATAGATATCTTGTAACGAACAATACGATGGGTCATCTTGAATAATTCTAATTTGAGGCGCTAATGGAATTATCAACGGGAGATGGAAGAAGAGATTCCTTTTGCGACTTTCCTTACGACGTTCCAATACACTGAAAGTTTGGACAAGTGAGAAATTCAAAACGGTTTTGGGTTTGGTGAAAAAAAAAATGGAAAAAAAGAGAAACCTATTTAATATTCTGAAAAGTTGTATGATTCTTTCTTCACGACGACTGTGTCTTGCACACGGATGTTGAATAGCAAATGGATGCAGGCTACCATCGTGTCCACGAATAGTAATTCTTCGATAGCAGAGACTATGAGAACGAATGACCTCGATTTCGGGCATAAATCGATCTATACGGACAAATTCTTCGTTGCTGTGATGTTTATGCTAGGAAATATGATCAAATTAAATTTCGAATAACAAATGGAATATAAGATATTTAATAATTATGTGAAAACTAACCAATAAATACTGTCCGGGGACTTCAATTTCCTCAAATTTTTGATGTTGAAACTCTACTAAATATGGACTAAAGTATTCCAGATTTTGAGTCCGAGGTTTGCTGTCCAATACAATTTCAAAACGATCTCTCCATTTTCGAAGGGTATCGACATATTGTATCAAGTTCGGCCTTTTAATTAAAAAGTCTTCTTCAAAGGCCGTCTAAAGAACGATATGGTCTAAGTATATTAAATAGCTTTTGCAAATAGAAATCAGAATATATAACCAACCCTGATAGCGCCGGGATACAAATTTTCAGCAAATCTTCGGATATTCGCTTCAGTTATTGGCATGAGTAAACCGTCATCATGATGATTCATAAGCCGAGAAATTATTTGCTAAGCGAAAAAAAAAAAAATCTGATTAGAACCGAAATTCAAAATGAATATACACGACCCCGCTTTAAGATACCTGGACGCCATCGTTTAGAAGGGCAACAATTAACCGGTAAACATCCTCGTCTGAAGATGGTTTGAGACGTTGTTGAATTTGGTCTACCATTGTTTCCATTGAAAGTGCAAGCAGTGGGAAAGTTGTCCTCAAGATAGACATAATATCTTCAACATGTTCCCATGGTTGCTTAGATATTGGTTGTTGAGGTTGCGGCGTTGAAGGATAGTTTTGCATATTAATAGGACCATTTATTACTGGAGATCTTCCAGGTTCGACGTTGCTCACTGACGCTCCAGTTATGTGATTCTGAATCCCTCCGGTCGTTGGTGTTGATGGAACGTGAACTTGAATATTAGCGTTTGTTGGAGTCGCAGACATGTTGTTGCCTGTCGGAGTTTGAGGCAAATTGTTCGACGTTGTTCCGTTTGTTGGCGTTGAAGGAATGTGATTTTGGGTGCCATTTGTTGGATTACTTGTTCCCTGGTTTTGTGTGCCATTAGTTGGGGTAGTCGGTAATACATGATTATTTGAAGGTGTACCCGGAATCGAGGCATGACTATTCAGAGGTGTGCCGGGAACGCCGGGAGAAGCTCCATTAGAAACTACATTTGTTGTCTGTGATGAAATGTTTGGTGGTGATGCAGCCATGCCATTCATAGAACTGTTTCCAATCTGCATGGCTGGACTTTGGGGCATCGGATTGTTTATTACTTGAGAGGTTATCTGACCAGGACTCGTTTGAATAGGACTTGATTGTTCCGGACTTGCTTGGACCGATCGAGAATGTCCACCTCCATTCATAACACCAGGATTTATTTGTGGTGTAGATGGCAATGCCATTCCCTCATTTCCGGAAGTGGTAGAAGGCATTTGCGTCATGGAAGTTGGCGTTCCCGGTGCATTCACTTTAGATGCTGCCATTTGACCAGCGCGAGCTTGTGCGGCAGCAAGAGCTGCCTGTTTTTTGATAAGTTTGTATTCTTCTTTGGCTGTTCTCAATTGGAAGTGTAAAGCCTAATAACAGCAAAAAATCAAGCATTTAAAGTTATTAAATCAAATTTTTACATCTTACTAAATCGTTGCAAATTAACTAACCTGTGGATATTGTTTGGCAATCTTCATGAGAATAGTACGTGCATGTCTTGCTTCTTTATGCATCAGACAGACAATGAGCTGTGGGATAAAAGTTATCCAATACCAAGTAGGAACTTCGCTCTTATTATTATAAGTTTCAAACACTCGCGAAATATTTCCTTGGCTATCGTCCAGTGTCAGAAGCCATAAAATACGAACTAGCAACTTCCTTGATTTGGGATTATTATAAAGTCCGGCAGCTTGCAGATAAC